GAAATGCTCATCTGCTGTATGTACAGTAAGCGAGTATGATTGCCGATCTCGAAAGAAGGCTACGACTGATCGTACTTTGGGGAGAGGGGTGAGGAGAGGAGGGGAGGGGAAGGAGGGAGGTGTTATGCAGTAAGCAATTAAGTTAACTACTACGTACTACTTAATAACCGACATGATCATGTCCAATATTCTGTCTGTCTGGGTTGATTATCACCAGGAAAGGAAATTGGTCGTGCAGGTGAAGAGTCGGTCAGAAGTGACTATACTAGTCGTATTGATTCTCGATCGCTACATCTTTAATATGTAGCAATCTTATAGAGGTTGAAATAATGAGCGCGGATGATCGGATGGCGGGCGGATCGGTGGCTTTCGCTTCCAGGAAGAGAAGCCGAGAAACCCCTGAAGAGAACCAATGGTTTTTTGGTTCGTTTTCTTTTCCCCCGCTGACGACGGACGGCGCGCCCGTCCAGCACAAAACCCCCCTGATTGGCTTCAGGCTGAAGGATGTGGTTTCGAGAAGACCAATAGAATGATGTGGCCCGATCAGCAGGAAAAGTGAGTGGTTGGCCTTTTCAAGTCTGCACGGTTTTGTAAGCCCTAGACTTTTGGTACTAGTAATAGATTGAACTGTTTGGACAAATGGCAGTCAGTGACTAGCTGCAACTGCAGCGGGAGTGGAGGCTGACGACAGCTGCTGGGCGGTCTGTGTGTCCTCGAATCGTATAAGATAGATAGTAGTAATCTGTCCAGTTGCTTCAGTAGTTGTTGCCTGTCCGTCGTAAGAATGTTCATGGTACGTAGGCAGATGTCCGGATGCCCGCGGGACCCAGACTCAAAAGTGGACTCGCAGATTCTTGAGGATCCAAAGCCAGAGACTGTTTGGCTATCGATTAGTCCCTTTTCTTCTCTCACACTTGCCACGTCCCAGGGTCTGACGGATTGTCTCGAAATAGGAGAAACCGACTTGGCCCCGTGGACTAGTCTCACTAATCATATAGTGTGGAGTCACCCTGCAACTGCTAAGCCCGCCGCCGCGCCCCCCAATTCGAGGCCAACGACAGTCTCCCCTGTGCTGCCATTCTTAATCTTTCTGGGCGGGACCCCCCGGCAGTCTTATATGGCGCATCTCTTCCTCCCCTTCCCGGTTTCATCTCAATTTCCTTTCCCCTCTCCCCTTATCGGGGTTTTGTGGCTAGGCTGAGAGGTTCACCGCTTAATGCTCGTATTTGATCGCGTTCTTGCGCCCATATGTAATCCCGTCGTATATCCCCTTCCTCTCACTTCTCTCCCTCGACGGGCAATGGTCATTCGGAACCATGCCTCTTGAGTCCAATGAAACCCTCGATCGCGAGGATGCCCCGTTCCTCGCCTCGGGTCAAAGGCCCTCCTCCCCAGTGGAAGAGGAGTCTGGCCCGTCGGATGCAGAGAAAGAACACCTTCGGAAAACTCGCCTTCGCTTAATGTTGACCCTTTTTGCCATGATCTTGGCCGTCGAAGTCGGCATCTGCATGTCCAACGGCCCCGTCACCCGTATATACGAGTCCATCGCCTGTCGAGAATACTACGCGCAATATGATCCCACCCAGATTGGGGCCGACGGCGAGGTCCAGGAGGAATTGTGCAAAGTTAAAGCGGTCCAGCAGGATCTGGCTGCAGTGAAGGGCTATATGGAGTTCTTCGATGGCATTCTGAGTAGGTCACGACGAAGGCACCGCCGGTTCGGACGAGGCTATGTCGCATCTCTTGTTCCCTAGTCTCTACCAATTGGGCGCCTCCCTTTTGCACTTAATACGCGACATATAGACGAGGACCCTTATTCACGTTCTTTCTCATCCAGGTGCTGTGCTAGCAATTCCATACGGCTTGTTGGCTGATCGACGGGGCCGGAAATCCACCATCTGTCTGAGCATTCCCGGTTTCGCCCTGAACTGCATTATTCAGCTGGTGGTTATGTGGCGCCCAGACGTCTTCCCTCTGCGAACTGTCTGGGCATCCTCTTTGGCTTGGTTGTTTGGCGGAGGCCCTGTTGTAGCATTCGCCATCATCTGGACAATGATGTCGGATGTGTCAACTGAAGAAGAAAGGTAGCGTGCATCAAATTCCACAACCGTTGGTGGGACTATAGCTAATGATCATCAGAGCGGCGATATTCTTCAGGTTCGGCGTGGCTAGCATGGGAGCCGATTTCGCTTCTAGTGCCGCCAGTTCCTGGTTGATGGCATTAGACCCATGGCTTCCTCTGTTGTTGGGCTGGGGTTTGGCTGTTGTTGGCATGTTCTTCGCCTTATCATTACCGGAAACGATGCGTGTAGGGTCATCGCAACCGACTTGGAAGCAGCCGAGCATGGAGATGAGCCAAGTATCACCCGGGAACGCTGAGTATAAGGAAGTTCCCAGCAAGGAACAAGAACACGAGGTACTCAGCGATGAAGAGACCCTCCAAGGGGAAGAAGCTTCTTTCACCACGAAAGCAGCACGACCAACCTTCTTCGCTTCGGCGAAACAACGGTCGCGAGCCTATTTCGCACCGTATTCCTTCATTTTCAGAAACAAGCAGATTATGCTCCTCCTTACCGCGTTTCTCGTCTATCGACTAAGCCGTGGCTCGTCCTGGTTTTTGGTCCAATACATCTCCACCCGTTACAAGTGGACCCTGGCAGAAGCGAACTTCCTCATGTCTTTCAAGCCGGCCTTGACCATCCCGTTGTTCCTTTTCATCCTACCTGCTATTTCACGACAACTTCTCAAAACCATGAAGCCGACCCAGAAAGACCTGCAGCTCATGCGCATCAGTATTGGGCTGTTGGCAGTCGGGACGTTGGGAATCGGTCTTTCACCGAGCGTCGCGATGTTGATTCCCAGTCTGCTAGTTCAGACATCCGGGTCTGGATTTGTCTTCCTAACTCGTGCTCTTATTACCACATTGGTGAATCGGGAAGAAACAGCCCGTCTCTTCACCATTATTGAGGTCCTGCAGTCAGTGGGCAATGTCATTGCCAGTTTGTCCATCACCACAGTGTTCCAAATTGGACTGGAACTGGGAGGGGCTTGGATCGGTCTGGCCTGGATGATGACCGCGACAGCCTTCACTTTGGTAGGCGTCGCTATCTGGATGTTCCGGATTCCCTCTCGTCAGTCGGATGACAAGATAGAGGAAGAGAACGTGGTCTTCTGAACTGGCGAGAACTGGGCAATGTACACATATAGAGTATGAGACTTTTCATTTCATGTAAATAGTAAGGTTGAGAAAGAGAAAGGAGCTTGATTGAAGTCTGTTGATGCGAGGGATGAACTACTTAGTTACTATAACTATAGACGTGGGCGGTAAGTCAACCTTCCAGCCTCGGTTTCCCAATCAGGTAAGGTGATTACCCAAGCAGGACTAGTGCGGCATTGCAGCAGCAGCTCGACATGTGAACATCTCAATTCCCATTCCTTCGTGCTGAAATCAACAAATCATTGCGCCTTTCTGCTGGTGCCGCCAACAACCCCCCCAGTCGGTTTTGAGTTGGCCGACATATATTCTCTTTGATAAGATATACTATCGATTTGCTCAGCAGGTTCCCCCGCCGCCTGCCGCGCTGACCGGACAACTTTCACCCCACGTCTTGCTTTACAAGCTTACGGCAGTCTGCTGTCAAAGTCTGGTCATGTCCAGTCTGCAAGTCCACTAATCCCTCTTATCTCGTCGTCACCAAAGATCCCCTTGTCATGGAGAGATTTACCCAATTTCGCGATCGAGGTGCGTGTGCAAACCCCTTTTCTACTCATTGTGAGCCCGCTTTCCATTACTGACGATGATGCGGTGTATAGGAACGGGTGTCTCACCCTTCTTCCCGACTCCTCGTCCATCGCTCAGCTACCCTCAGTGGATACTACGAATCTTCCTCTTCTGCGTCCGTCTCCCGTTCTTCATACCCGTCTGCATCGGCTACTTCCTGCTTTTTCAATGGCTCCCGATCACATCGCTGGGAAGAAAGGCCGCTCTGTGGTGCATCCTAGGCGTGCCCAGCATCTGGTGGGTTGATCTTCAAGTGGACGGAGTGAGGAAAGGGTCAGTTGCGCATCTCTCTGCAAACATTATACTATTTTCTTAGAACATCTACTGAGCTGCTCGAATTTTAGAACTCTCAACAACGACCGGCACCAGAACCGTCTACCCGGGCCCGGATCCATCATTGCCTCCTCCTTCACCTCCCCAATTGACGCGCTCTACCTAGCCGCTGTGTTTGACCCTATCTTCGTGTCTTGTTATCCCTCCACACGCGAAGTCGAACAACTATCCGTCTGGCAAGCAATTCTTCGCGCCTTCGCTCTCCCGCAAGCAAAACCCCAGCCCAAAGCCCGTACCGTCGATCTAAAAACCATCATGCGGAAGTACCCCGGCCGCCCTATTGCCTTGTTTCCTGAGTGCACGACCACCAACGGACAGGGCGTGTTGCCGCTGAGCCCCGTGCTGGCGAGCGCTCCTCACAAGACAAAGATCTTCCCTGTGGCTTTGCGGTATGAGCCTAAAGACGTGGTGACTCCGGTCCCCGGGTCGTATATTACTTTCCTGTGGAGTCTGCTGGGTCGACCGACGCATTACATCAAGGTGCGCATTGGACAGGCAGTCGTGGGTGTCGCTGCGGATGAACTGCCAACGCATGACGCTACCATGTTTGATCCTAGTGCTTCGGAGAACGGATACCCTCATGACCGAGACGATGAACGGCCCTTCAGTGAGACTTCCGTGATGGTGCTCGAAGAGCAGGTGCCGAACTATGTAGGGGATTCGCTGGCTCGCCTTGGCAGAGCCAGACGTGTAGCCGTGACGGCGCCGCAAAAGTTGGAATTTGTGAAGTTGTGGAAGAAGTCATATTGGACATGGTAATTTGCCGTCCACTACGGCTTGCAGATAGGCAGTTGCCCATAAGTAGATAATTTATCAATATTTTGGCGGAGCCACACTACATCCAATTAGCTATTTCTCAATGAAACCAGCACTTGTCAGTCACTATCTAGAAGAAATGCACGTCCCTTCCAGAGTGAAACATCACCGGCAGAAGGACCTTGTCCGCGTGCAGGTCCTTGATCGCGGCGTGGAGATTCACCGGTATCTTGGCCAAGGCCATTTCAGTGAGACGGTCTTCCAAGTATTCAGCATAGTATTTATCGTAGAAAAATCGGATTCCCCAGCCAATCATCTTCAAGGTCTTGGCGGTTGATGTCAAGGTGGTACTACCATCCGGGGCTGGCTGTTTTGCCTTGGCTTGTCTGCTCTGCTGAGGCTCATCTTCGTCGTCACTAGAATCACCCCAGGAGAAGCTCTCCTTGAGGTTTTCGTGGAACCAAGTTGCGTACGTCCCTGCTTTTTGTGCATCGAGGTAATGATCAAGCATATCGCACATCACCAGCTTCTTCTTGTGCATGAAGTTGTGCCAAAACTCGACCAAACCTTTCTCGGGAACGGCATTGGAGAAATTGAACTTGTCCGTGGAGATTCGGCGGGCGTAGAATTCATTGCCGGTTCCCAGTTCTAATCGACAAAGGAACCATTGCGCCCCTGGCGTGCCGGAGAACCGTGCTAGAACCCATTCTCCAGCTATGGCGTGGAGGTTGGGTTCTGTGACGAAGTCGATCATGCGAGAAACCCGTCTCTGCTCTGCCGAAGAGCCGTAGTTTTTGAGCTTGGGCCGACTGTCACGGTTTACGTTGTCTGTTTCTTGGGAAGAAGCAGGATCCGGTGCTGGACCTTCACCATTGGTTTGTTTGTTTTGCTGGCTTTCTGGGTTCGTTGGCGGTGCATCTGCATCAGTGTCAACCCCCTGTGCGGGCGTGTTCGTGTTGGCTGGGGCGGTTTCTCTGAGGATGGTTTGCTCGATCACTTCGACCAAATCCAGTTGCCTTTCAAGGACCTTTCGCTCACAGCAGAATGCTACCATTGTGAGAGTAAACCCAGTACTTATAGTACACCACCCATCAATCATCTCTTTGTCACTTGCGGCATTTTTGACTTTCGCACGAAGCTCTTCAGGCTGCAGCATATTGACCACAATGCGCTGAATGTCAAACACGCCCTTGATTCCAGAGCTGTTCACGACTATGGGGTTCGGGCAGATGATTTGCTCGTCACACTTGCTGATCCTAATGGCCTGCGCTCCAGATTCATTGCTTTCGCTGGGGGATTTCTCGTTTCCAACTGACGTTTTGTTATCTCTGCGCGCGGGATCACTTTTTAGGGCCCTGCCAACAACACTCTTGATCTCAGCTTCGAATCGTTCTGCCTTCTTGGCGTTCTCTGCTGCTTTCTCTTTCTCTGCTGCCTTATCGCCCGTGAAAGGATTGCCCTTGTGAAGATTCGGTAGCTTAACTCCCCATGACTTCTTCCTTCCGATCCCCGGAGTTCCAGGTGCTTGGGGGGTCTGGGGAGTCACGGGCGTGTCGGACTTTTGCACATTCTCGTCCTGTTTCGCGTCTTCTTCCGACCCTGTTTTCCGCGCATAATCGCCAGCATTTGCCAGTGTCTTGACGAGCTCTGGGAATTCTAGAAGGCTTTCCAGTTTTTGGCTATCATTTTCCCTGATGAATTTGACCATCTCTAGAAGCAAACTGACCGTTTCTTCGGTCTGCTTGAATGTTGAGACGAAGTTGCTGGCATCAAGCAGCATGTCAGTAATGCCTTTTGCGATAGTCAGGGTTTTGGTACGATCATTTCGGAAAATTCGGACGAGTTCGCCGTTTACATCGAAACGTGATTCGGTGTAGAAGGCGTCAATGTTCGACGCGTACAAAGAACGGCCGCGTATAGGGCTACCATTGTACTTGCCAGTCCAGTTGAAGACAGAAACATCGTTGGAGGTAACCACCACCTCATCCATGAGCCGAGACAGGGCCTTGGTAAGGCCCTCGGCTGGGAACGCTGGGAACTGCACTCCAAGGACACCCATCAACGAGTACGCCTTATCAATAGCCTTGGTGCACTGTCGATGCGATGCCAGCATCATGACACTGTGAGCAGAGAAACGGCTCCTCTCCGTGCCATCCCACCAGCTGCTCAGGCCTTCGACGTTGCTGAACTCGGCGATTGTTTTACGATCATCCCTGATGGATTTGATTGCCTTGTGTGCGAGGGCCACAAGCAGCAGGCTTATTGTTCGCCTCACTGCCTTCTCCCGTTCCAATCCATTATAGTGCTCAGATATATCTGTCAAGATCTGTTCTCTAATGTCATGTTCCGGGTCTGTGTAGCTTGGCTTGTCCTTGAATGCTTCAACGACGAGTTGGACAGAGTAGCCGATACGAGCTCTCGCTGTTTGCTTATCCAAGTTCTTGGGCGCGACATATCCAAATAGCCTCAGAGCCTGGATTATGCTCTCTGCACCAATAGTCTATATCGCAGTCAGACAAAAGTATTTCACACCGAATGCTTAGCTCACCTCTTCAGCCTCACCCGGTGCGACTAAACTGGTCTTTGTATCCTCAATCGTTCCATTTTCCTCTGCGGCTGCTATCACTTCCCGTACACGGTCGACAAGTTTCAGTGCCTCGCCATCGATGTAATTGAGATTCTTGGTGTAAAAGTCAATGAAAGGGCAAAAGTGATAGTAGCTCCCCAAACTGTCAACCGGTCGCGACAGCAACTTCCAGTCTGCATTGGCATAGAATGTCATTTTGCTGAGGACCAATTCCTGCAGTGTCCAGCCTCTGGTAGCCCATGTTGGCTTCCACTCTTTGACTTCGCTAAAGCGCGAGACAGGCTGGCATCTAGGCGTTGTCTTCATAGCTGTACTGACCACGTCGCTATCCTCGGTGTGATCCGGTTCCCCCTCTTCATTATTGCCTTTGCTTTTGCACCACAGGTCCCATTCATCCAACCATTCCCGGTTGTCCCACGGAGTATCCAGGTGAACCAGGCAAAAGTCTGCATTTGCGTACCACTCTCCCATGCGTGCTAAAGACTCACTCAATTCAGCGTCCTGTCGCTTGTTAATACAGCAGTTATCCAGCCAGATATATCGTCTACCTGTCTCGAAGAAGGGTCTACTCTGGAAGATATCTCGCGCACGGCTGATAGACTTTTGAAGCTTCCGTGCCGACCTCCTATGCTGCAAGGCCCTAACCAAATCGTCCATCTCATAAGACAACTGGCGGTTCGATCGGTATCTCGAGATTCTGTTTTTCTCTGATGCGTAATCATGCTCAGCGCGGGAGTACTTTTCCGCTGCCTGCTTGGCCCTCTCCTCTGCATCTTCTTGTTGCTTCGCTAGACTTGTTAGACTCTTAACTTCTTTCAGGAAGTCTAACAATTTCTGGTAGTTGGTTTGCTCCAGATCTGCCTGTCTCTTGTTTGCATTCTCAACAGTCCGCTTTTGCTTGGTATCAACCACATCTCTTTCCAGCATGGATACCCTAAGAGACGTCACGAGCAGTTGCCGGATTGATGTTCCTGCATCTGGTCTCTCCTGTAACAGCTTGCGCAATTTACCTGCGATTGTATTGATCTTCTGGTCGCAGAGGGCGAGAACCGCATCCACATCATTGTACCCAGTCAGCCCTCCCGGTGCCTCCTCAGCACGCTGGGCTTCGCACACAAGCGCATAGTCAATTTCCGCACCTTTCCAACTATGGGACAGCATGCAGTACTGATCTTCCTCTCCAAAGAAACCCGTATCAACCAAGTTCATGGTATCCAAGTCAAACATGCGGAGGGGGACTGAGATGTCATCTACCTGTCCACCAAATGAGCTGATCAGGATGTCGGAGTCTTCGTCCATCGACTTGTCCAAGAAGTCGTTGTACAGTCTAGGCTCTGTGCTAGACCTCAGGATAAGATGAAGAAGACCTCTTAGCTTTTCGTCGTTGGAGCTATTGTCTTTTGACAGGATGCCTTTGACCTTGGCCATTTCACTGTTTGCGGTTTCTCTCAGTTCCTTGGCGCCCATAACGAGGCTCGACTTCATGGCGGCATCGCGTATGCTGCCTAGGACTTCATCTCTGGTGATGACCTTTTCTGCTTCCGATGTAGAGCCGTTCGATTTGTTGGCCGGCGAGTCTCTTGGTTCATTGTCGTTCCTAACGTTGCTTGTGTCGGTTGGTGGATTCCGTAGACTACCCAGCATTTCATTTGCTGAAGTGACTTGGCCTACTGTTGGAGATTCGACGACGGAGTTATCGTCGGCAGCAGGCAAGATAGATACAGAGAGCTCCTTGTCCGATGAACGTCCGCGTCCCAACGACGGTAGTTCGAACTTATGCTTGTTCTTGAACATCTTGCTGGGTTTTAGCGGACGTAGCGGCTGACGATGGATAACAGAGATTCACGAGAAATGTGGGAAGTGGGTTTGGCAGTCTTTAAAGCCACTTTCTGATGATGGGTCAAGGAAGACCGTAGTCATCTTGCCACGTTATATTCACAAAGGAAAGCTTATCAAAGCTGTAGGCCATGCAATCGCACCTCCATCTCCGCATCGTGCTATCTGCCACTTGCAGGTCGACTGGCGGAGATATCCGAAGGCCCGTAGCCTAGCCCTCATCTTCGATCGGCGCTCTACCGAACATGTCATGTTTGATCCGAGAATCCGACACATTGACAGCCAGTAAGCTAGCGCCGTGTTGCATTTAGCGCCGTAAGAGTTGATACCTCTCCCGAACCAGACCCGGGTGCATTAGCGGAACGCCTCAACTGGACTACTTGTCCCCGGTGGCAGGTCCCCGAGGGCATGTTGCCCACGAAGATTCGTCTGTCAATGGAGGGTGAAGACTGGTACTACGCGTTCATCGTATGCATGTTCATGTCGCAATTCCCTTCCTAGCGGCATCCAGCCGGTTGTTGGCAGTCTGAGAGCCAATAGTTCGCTGCTACATGTCACGGGAAAGCTTTTATTTCCTGCAACCCTCACCCGCAAGATTGCCACCTCCATTCCGTTGCCCCTCCAATTGGAGGGTGACGGCGAATTTCGGACCAAGCATCGATTGTATAATTAGCACCTTCTGGAAGGGGGGGAGTGCAAATCAAATAACAATGATCTCTGCGCGCCTCCCTAGTTAACCCCATATCACCAAACTGTAAGCTCACCATGGCCTCCTATCACCGAGTTCTAGGCGTCTTCGGCAAGTCCGTCAAGGACAAAACGCTGGAGTGCGATTGGTATGTCGACCCTTCTGCTTGACATCAGGGTAGCTCAAGTAAACAGTTTACTAGCGATATTCATCCATGGGAAATCAAAATCAACGGTGAACAATGGCCAGGGAAGATCCGCCTCATCGGGTTTGTGGATGTGTTCTTCCTTTTCTCCTACTCGGCCAACGCACGCTTCGAGAAGGGAGTCATTGTCTACAGTATGGCATGGTGATCCTTTCTATACAAATTGATTAGTGGCCGTTAACATGCTCATAGAGGAAAGATACGACCTTGAAAAGCTCCTTCAGCAGAGGGATGAAGCACGTGCGGAAGCTGGAGAGAAGATTGTCGAGGGAGATCTCGAGAATGCTAGCAGAGAGTTTCTCTATAGTTCTTCTGCTCCAGAAACTCCTTCGTCAAGCTTTCCAGGCCAGGAAGGCAAGGTGAGAGACATTAAGACTGAGGTGGTCGAACTCAGTCCTGAGACGTCGGGCTCGTCTTCTCCGTTGGAGAGCAAACAAGGCATGTTCTGTTGAGTGCTTCACATCCGCACGAGAGCAAGTCTGGTCTAACTGAGCTCAGCCACAAACCAATCCACGGAGAATAAAAACCGTCTGGACCGTCTAGAGTTTGAAAACACGACATTGTACAAAGTACGCAGCTTGGGCTACGAAGTGGGTCTCAAAAACCGATATCCAGTCTCCTCCATTCAGGAATGGGTCATCGAAATCAACAAGCCCTACCATCGGGCGCTGAGACGTATGTGGGCCTTGATCCTTTGAAAGTTCGCACATATCCATCTGCTCCGTTTATAGATGCTGACTATGCCTTGTGACGTGTGTAAACAGGACGCATTAAGCGGGCCATCAAAGAACACACGACCACTGAGCTCTTAGAAGATGTGGTTAGATGTGGGTTTATTTCACATGGCCAAATGGCCGGCCACGTTCTGTCCAAGTATCTCGTTGGGGGAGTTTTGGATGATACTCTGACGAAGTATATCGAGGGATTGGCGGTGGGAAATGGGGCAGGAAGGGTGCCACTAGCTAACCAGGGGTATTGAGTATAGACAACTGTACCAAGGATTTATATATCGGACAAATGTTGGATGTAGCTGTGGTTGTGCTTATGATTAGATGGGTTGCGATGGTGATTCATGATTGTTGTAGTAGTTATAGTTGCTTCTGGATTAGGAAATGTTATGGAGGTATTTTAAGTAGTGGCCCAGGAATCTAACCCAAAAGGGGTAAACTGATAAGGCATCACAACTAGGCCTGATTTGGCAGGCGGCACTAACCCCTTTTTGCGCGGGCGAGCAATTGCTTCGCCGGCCTTGAGATTAATCTTCAGCTTCGACCTCCCCGCGGACTCTCCACTCCACTTGGGTCGGCTCCAGTTCCGGAGTAATATGCTGTTCCTACAGAACAATGGACTTTGTACGACTCCCCCCGTCCTTTCCCTTACCGCCCGTCCCTCAGCTAATGCCTCCAGTGGTCTCGTCTCATCGGGGGCTCCCGCTCGCTGTCTACTAAAGGCTTCCGGGCGTCCACTCCCACGGAGCGATTGGCGTCCTTCAAGCGGACATGCAATACCCTTCAGGTGCGTCGACCCTTCTTCCTCCTCCTAGTTATCCCCTCGTGATCTTTCCCGCTCATCAAACCTAGCAAATATGGCGCTCCAATAACTCCTCCACCGGCGAGCAATCCGCAACCGTTCACGCGCGTAATTGCATTGATCGCCTCATCTCCGTGCTGAGCGACGAATCCCGCGGCCCAGCTCCGCATCCATGCCTCGCATATGCCTCATCTTCGCAGATCTTCGTCACAGTCACTAAACTCGCCTTGTCTTCCTACGACGATGGCATGCTCCGATCCGCGACCGTGTTCTTCAACACCCTCATCGATTCGGAGGTCGATGGTATTGTCGATAATCGACTCTTTGCCCGCGCACTGGTGGATTTAGTGCGACGTGCGGATAAACACTCGGAGGATGTTGAGGGACGACTCGTTGAGCTACTGTTCGGCGTGGCTAACAATATTCGGCTACAGCCGAATATTCTTCCTGCGTGGTTCGCCCCGCGGTCTGATGAACAGGAACGCGAACAGGGCAATGGTAATAACACTGGGGCTGAATTTGCGGGTGCAATGAGGAAGGATGATTTTCCGTTGTTCTACCTACTCGTAGAGTATGTGCATCATGCTGGTAGGGCAGGTGATTTTGCTCGTACGGGGTTGCTTTATTTGATCGAGACAGCTTCCAGGTCGAAGAATCTTGAGAGGTGGTTGATTGAGAGTGATCTCGCTACGCTTATGGCTACTGGATTGGGTGCGCTCTATAGTCAATTGGGCAGGTGAGTTCTATTATGGTTGTTCGTGGTGAGGATGAGGACTGGTGGCTGATATCTGTTGCAAAAGCTTGACCTTCCCGGAGAATACGGACGAAAATATCCCGCATATCATTGCGCTGTCGGATCACGCGCAGCAAGACACTGCTCTTCCGCCAGTGCTGGGCATGTCGATGGATTCGTTCATGTCGTATCTGTTGTTCTGGCAGGATACTATTGATCATTGCAAGTCAGCGGAGGTAAACGGGACTTTGTTGGATCATTTCCAGATTCTCTTCCTGGAACAACTCTTGTAAGTTCGGTTGATATTGCTGGAATGCCGCTTGCTCATTATAACGCATGCAGGTACCCGTCGTTACTTGAGTCCTCCGATGTGCAAGGGGGTTCAACGGCTGCTGTGCTTACCTACCTGTATCGCATTCTCGAGTCTGTACACCAGGAGGACTTAGTCCACCGGATTCTTCATTTCCTGCTTGCGTCTCCCTCTGACTCGGAGCCTGCGGCAGTCGGAAAGAACATAGGTATGTCTGCCAGCCGACGCAAGTCGCTAGATGTCTTGGCTGCTTTCTCCGAAGAAGCCGCGCGGCCCTCGCCGTCGCTTTTCAACCTGAGAGATCTTGCCCTCCTTGGACTTCAGTCGACAAATAGACAGACTGTTCTGGCGACATTGCGGGTAATGAGCACCGTCCTGCAACGGCATCATACCTTTGCACGATCATTAATACGCACCGTTCCTGGCCAGCATGCCAAACAACGGACTGTCGGGGCGTTGAACGTCGAGCTGGAACAGCTTATGAACATGGCCACATCTACTGTTGATGACCCTACGTTGAATGAATCTTATGACAACTACCTTAAGGACGGGATGGCAATTCTCGAGGCCCGGCTGTGCATTCCCCCGGCCGAGGATTACCCGGAAGAGAGCCTGCCACTCGAGCTACGACACGACGACCCCATTGTGCGCGAGCTGCTCAATTGCCTGGAGAATTTTTTCACGAACAGTGTTATCGTGAACCTGGCATTGACCGAAGTCCTCGGGAGCATCGCCTCTTCGCACCTGATTGCTCTTGACGGCTGGCTTCTCGTGGACCCTTCCAAGTACATCTACAGCACATCGACGAACAAATCTTCAGACGAAACCCCTTCGACGGCCCTTATTGAACAGATCCAGCGAGCCTACGAAGAGCCCTCCTGGTCCCATACCGACACTCCAGCCCTCACTTCGGTACTTCAGAAGCTCGTGCAAAAGATCCAGCAATGGCGCAAGGACATGCCGGACTTTGACATCCTCGTCGCCGCGCGTCGCGATCTCCTGCACCAGGACGACGAGCCCGCCAAAGCGTCCGGGCGTCCTCAGCGCAACTCCGCACCTCCTACCCGCTCCTCCTCCCGACACCCAACATCCAACCTCGACTCGGACTATGGGTCCCCTCGCGGCCGGTCAAGTCGACCCCTCGAGTTCTCCAGCACCGCCACCTCCTCTCCCAGTCGCGACGCCATCGGCTCTCCCACCCGCGACCTCCCCTTCCGACCGCCCCGCGATGTCTCCACGGCGCGCAGATCCGCCGCTGAAGAGCTCCGCCAGCGACTGGAACAGCCATTCCCAGTGGACGATGCGCCTCACGATGCCAACAACAATACCACTGCGGAGGAAGCAACTGACGAAGCAAACGACGACGCGGGCGACACCGCGGTCGTCGACGAAGAACCCCGCACTGCCACTCTGGGCCATGTCCTGACCAACGTAGTCATTCTCTATGAGTTCTTGTTAGAAACGTCGGCTGTTGTGCAGGCGCGGGGAACAT